ACACCAAAAAATGTTGGTGCAAATATTGTAGATTTTCGTGGTTGATAAATCTGTTAATCAGACATTCTTTTGTGCACTTTGATGCCCCTACTGCAAAAACTGGTTATCCTGAATCTTTCTTCTAATATATCTTGAACCTCCTGCCAAGTCAGGATCAGGTTCCGTCAACCTGACCTCAGTTATTCTTTGCCTTTGTCATTCAGAGCTGCCCGCTTACAACTCAGTTGTTGTGTTGAGCACCTGGCGTTGCAATCTGGCTTGCTTCCTGTTGACTGCTCAGCGAAACTATAAATCTTGCACTTACTTGAAGCTAATAAACAAAAAGGTCCCTTCTGATCTCAGGTGTTTTACTTTTTCTTTTCAAAACTGCTTTACAAATAGGAAAGGACAAAACATCTATTCACTGCTGTTCATTGGTTATTGAGATCAGTGACAAATACATCAATCAAGTATGATCATTGCATTCTCAAGGCGTCTGATATTTATGAATAAGGAAAGATAAGGAATAATTACAATAAGTAATATGCCATAAGGTTATAAGTGTTGTCATAAGTGTTGCATTAACACAAGTTTCATGTTGATTCCAGCCTCCTTTTTCCTAAGTTCTTTCTCTCAGTCTTTAATCCATGTTGGTGTAAGCACTCAGACACAGTCTTTTATTCTTCCTTCCTACTAAGTTGCTTCCTCGAGTATCGTAAACTCTGGGTTCATTTCACAAAGTCCTGTTAAGTTTCCAAACACACGAGCGAGCTGCCTGCATGCATCAATCTGGAGATATCACCTTTATCTGAGACGTGGATTTTTCTTTTTTATTTCTTTTTACCTGACGCCAAACTGGGGATGTTAACGGGAAAATTAAATGGCAATCTGGTTTGTTAGATTCAGATTTATTTTCATTTTTGCAAGTTACACACTAAATAAGCCAACAGATATTGTATCTTTTCTATTATAGGAGGAGGGAAAATAATAATTTACAAATAATCAATGCTCTATCTGCCCAAGGGATGTCCTTCTGAAGTGAAAGATGCTATACAAATGTAACTTTGTATTGTAATTTTGTAATTGTATAGTTTCCCTAGGAATTAATTTGGATAATACCTGACTATTTTCTTGCTCATATAATATCCGTAATCAAACAAAAGGCTATTCCAAAGGCTGGCATCAGGTTGAGTACTTCTGATAAGGTTCCCAGTAGTCTATGGGGAATTATTTTACTCAAACCATAGTACATTCCCCAAGTTTGCAATTGTAAATAATTCCAGACTTAACATGGTGGAAATAATTACCCCTATTTGATTATTGTAAAGAATTCACTCCAGAGCTTCCAAGCATTTCAGTTGATGAAATGCTTCAAGAAACAGTTGTGCAATCTTATCTGAAGATCCAGTGCTCTGAAATCTGTCCCATTTATATTGTAAGGTAGATTCCATGGTAGCCAGCGTAAGAGAAAATCTACTCTGCATGGGCAAGCTTACACATTCACAATCTTAAAGCCATAGCTCGTGAATGAATGTCAGCCTGGCTCTGTCTGTTGTAATCTTGCCTTTGTCAGAAGGCTGTGGGTTCATGCACCATGTCAGGTCAGTCATAATCCAATCTGACAACCCATTAATAATAAATAGTAATAAGAATCCTTATATTATCATTAATGTAAGGGGTAGGAGGTAAGTGAGGTCTCTTTGGAGCTGAATTGGTTCCAAAGTGACATGCTTGGTAATGGAATTGAGCCAACCCTCTGTGGCAGTTTCAGTCGTCCGGTTCCTGAGCCAGACGGGTCTGTTGTACTCCAAAGCACTGCTGATGACAGCACAGCTAGGCTGGCTCATTGGCAGAAGGGCAGATCAGTCATTAGAGGCAGGGACACTTCTCACCCAGCTCAACCCATCCCCATGCTTAAGAGTATTCAAACCAAGCTGAGAATTCCATGTATCTCACCTACACAAGGAAATCCCAGAGACAGATTGTTGGAATGGAATGCGCACTCTTTCCCTGGAGGGACACATCCCGCTTACATAATTCCAGAAAGTATTAGGCGCAGGTTGACAAGAGCCGAGGCTTGGGGACCCCAGAGTGTGCTGGATTCGTTATTCAGCTCAGTGTGATAATAAGGCCGATAATGGCAGTAAAATAATCAACTTAATGGGTCTGAATGGAGCAATACAAGTAAATGGATTTTGTATTAACTTATTGAGGTTAATACAAAATCAGCAGCATTCCCTTCCCTCAGAACCATAACATTAAGAACAACAACAACATGCAATTATATAGCGTCCTTCATGTTGGATAGTGTCTTGGGGCATTAAGAAGACGAGAAAAAACAATGTTTAGTTTTTGAATGTTTACTTTATAAATTTACATATTTTACAATACAACCTGTGTAGAAGTCTGTGAAAAAATGAATAGACAATTGATTCAATACACTTTAACAGCATAAATTGATCCGTCCCTGCAAAACTGTTTACTTCACCTGCAATTCTATTGATTTTACACAGAACCTTTCTGCAGACTGCTTTCACGATTCTTAACCCGATCCCCTCCCCCTACCAACTGGTCTTCAAACCATGTTTCCGAACAATAACAAACAGGTTCAAGTAGATTGTGTTTGTTCTGCGGAGAAATGTACTGAAGTGCATAACATAACATCAGATTGAATTTTCTTCTTAAATAGTGGAATCTTCATGCACAACCATTGTCCCAAAGTCAGAGGAGTGTTCAAACTCCCCATTGGCTTCAGCAAAGTGGTTGGGCCCAAAGATCTCCATGCTCCCAATCTTGGCAAATCTGAACATCTTAAAAATACGATATCATTTTATCTTGGATAGTATCATGTAAAGCAATGTGCAAATGATGTTTCGAGCCCCCAGCAATGCATTGCATTCCTGCTCACTTAGACCTAATCCAAAATGTAATTTCGAACTAAATCAATTTTCAAAGACTCCTACAAAGGAAACCACTGTGCCAAAGATGTGGGGTGTACATCGGTGATAATTTCTGTTTTTTTGCAAGTAATATTTCTAAGTGCTCTAAGCAGTATTTCATTTCCGTTGTCTATATTTAATAATAGCAATCCTTACTTTTAGTATAGAACCTTTCATGTCAGAAGGACGTCTCAAACCGCTTCACGTGATATACTCTAAAGTGGAGTGATTATTTTTTGTGGGCAAACGTGGCAGCTAATTTTCACACAGCAGTGCCCCACAAACAGTCATGAAGTGAATGATCAATTTTATTTGGGTGATTCTTGAACACGTCATGGAGAAAAACTCATTAACACAGTATATATATTTATACCTAGAGCTTTCTATTCCTGACCAGATATTAATCCAGGTCTTTTTTGGGAGAAATTGTCTAACAGGCAGTTACACAGCATTCATTCACTGTTGTTGAGTTATACTGTGGTTCATTTGTATTGCTTGCTTTTCCCTGTTGCAATATAATTTGTAAAAGCTTATGGGAAAATATGCAATGTTTTGGTAGATCTAAATCAGCTGTAGCTACAAACCATTTCCTGAAATACACAGAGAACGCTCAAGGGCTTTCACAGGTTTGAGGTTACTTACTCCAGATGAACTAAATAGTTTTGCAGGGACGGATCAATTTATACTGTTAAAATGTATTTGAATCAATTGTCTATTCATATTTTTCACAGACTTCTACACAGGTTGTATTATAAAATATGTAAATTTATAAAGTAAACATTCAATTTAAATCAACATCCAGAATATGTAACAATATCCTCTGCCTGTATCTTATCTTTCTTTGCATTTATTGCAACATTTGCAATTAATTTTGTGAGCTAAAGTATAAGGAAATATAAGCTATTTAAAATACTCCTGGCCATTTCAAATAACTATTTATCTGTGAAGATGTTCCAAGTACAGTTAAATAATAAAGGAGCAAGTGTCAAATGGAAAACGAGGTAACCATTCACACTAATAAATTGAAGTCATGCACTCTCATTCATTTGGTTTCGGTCTGTAGTTGGGTGTTTACTTATGTAAGAAAAGTCACATTTGACACGACTACTTATCACTTCATCAAAATATCTCAAGAGCTTCACAGGATTTACTGTAAAGTACAGTGACTGTGTACTCACTCTTCACAACCAAACCTTGTCATAGACATGCGGAAAACAGCTCAGTGATATTTTTCCATTATAATGCTATCTCCTGGGTGCCTATAGATATTTGTCACAGATCCTAGGTGAGTTTCACTGTGCACTGACACCAACTTCAGATGCTAGGTGTCAAGAACATAAAGCATAGAATGAGAAAACCTTCTCCTATCAAGGACAAGTAATACCAACACGATTATGGACATCAACCCACCACACAGATACTCCCCCAAGCCCAAATGTAATCATAGTAACAAAAATCCAGTATTTATTCACCTCCACATAGCCCTGGCCTTCTTCTCTCCACAGACAAGATATCTCCATCCTGGTGGTCCCAACAGCACATAAATCATTTTGTCCCATGAAACATATGCTTATTTCAGTTTTCACTTATCCCTAGTTATAATGATAATAATCCTTGCATTTGATATAGCTCCTTTTGTGTTGGGAGTACGTCTCAAAGCATTTCGCAGGATCTATTGTAAATTGTAGAGACCGTGCATTTGTAAGCAACTTGTAGGCACATATGAAAAAGCATTGCACGTGTTAGTATCACTGTCTTTAGTTAAAGACTGCCCCTGCCTATCCCCCGCATTATCAGACAGCTGTGGACAGTAAGGTGCTGAGTGACATTTGTCACATAACTCATGTTTAACATAAGAACAGGTGAATTTAGCAGACGTGACTTGATGGAAAGCTAAACAGTTCCTTCCTTTCAGCTTTAGAAATGCATGGATTCCACTACAAACTAAGTGGAGTACCTTTTAATATTCTCTCGTATAGCCCAAACATGCACAAAGGTGTCTGTTGAGGAAACAATAAGGGGAAATTGTATAGTGGTTCCTGGTACAAACTAGCGACAGACTTCCAAGCACTAGTAGATAATGCAGTGGTAATATTTGCTTTTATTTTGGTTTGGAGATTGAAATACAGCACAGCTAACTTCAGGGCTGCCGAAAAAGAGAGTGTGCAAAGGATCAGTATTTTTGCAATAACTGACTTTTAATGAAGCAGAACCGCACCAAGGTCATGCTTTCTTAAAACAAACCGAGCATGAAGTAATAATAATAATAATAATCCTTGCATTTGATATAGCGCTTTTCACGTCGGGAGGACGTCCCAAAGCGCTTCACAGAACACACTGTAAAGTGAATTGACTGTATATTTGTGGGCGAACGCGGCAGCCAATTGCGCACAGCAATTACAATAAGTTACAATAGCTGTGTTATTTATACGCCATGTTCTAGTTGCAGCCTGTGGTATTCCAACAAAGTCAACAGTTACTGGGCTCATGCAGTCTTTGTATTGCTGGCAGCGAAGCGGCTTCACTTCAAGGAGAAGAGTGATATGAAGGCAGGATGCTGATGTACACTTCCTGGTTCACACCACATGACCTACAAATAGAAGGAGATGAGGTGTGTGCCTCTGGACAGCTACTGTTATAGAGATCACGGATTATGGGTGTACTGCTGAGATTGAGAGCATTGGTGTTTCATGACACAAGCAGTCTTGTTGAAAGTTTGCTCTTGAAAAAAAGAGTATTGGGAATGAGAGCCCCAACAAGAGAAACACAACACAAGATCACAAGATTAATCTGGATGAAGAAAGCCCTTCAGCCCATCAGATCTATCCCTCCAGAACACCTCTCCTTCTGTCGTTCCTCCCAATCACGCATTAAGTTGCTTTTGAAATTAGTCCAGTGTCTTGGATTGTACTACTTTTCCTGACAATCTGTTCCAGTCACTGATTATCCTCTGTGTAAAGAAACCTTCCTGGTATCTCTCCTGAAAGCGAGAGATATGAAATGTTACAAGCAGAAATGTCAAACTTCACAATTAAAGGTGCAAAAACGTTTAAAATAAATAAATACCAGTCTTGATTTTCTGAACAATGCCTGTATGAACAGTGACATTGGAGGGAAAGAAAACATCTCCACATAGATTATAAAATACAATAATAATCCTTGCATTTGATATAGCCCCTTATCATGTCTTTGAGATGTCTAGATGGGCTTCACAAAATATACTGTAAAGTGTATATTTTGTGGGAGAAACACAGCAGCCAATTGCACAGAGCAGTGTCCCACAAACAGTGGGGGATTGAGTGAACACATTTTTTTTGAAGGGATTATTACCCCCAGAAAAGCGAGCTACCTGTCGACTAACAATCAGGTTCCTACTTACTGCGAGGTAAACAGAAGTGTGTGAAGTAAGCAAACTTACCTAACTTTACGCCCTGCTCGAGAATCAAACCTAGGTCTTTTGTTTGCGATACGAGTGCTCTGATCAATATGCTTCAGGACTCCACAAATCTTGAAAAATCAAAACTTGAAAAAGAGAAATACTGGGCCCTAAATTATATACTGAACGTTATTGAATGGCAAATCAAGATTGCTGAGGTGATTTGCGCGAGTCAATGGGAAAACAAATGTAAATTTTATGCCTTAAACTCTTGTGAAGTTTTAACCTATTCAATAAACAGTCACTACATTTTACAGTAAATCCTGTGAAGTACTGTGATATCCACTTTGAAACATGCTACATCAAATGTAAACATTATTATTACAGTTATTACTTATGGAAATTAGCATGGCTGACATGATTTGGGGAGTTAATGTTCGCCCTGTATTGCAGGAAGAATTTTGCTCTTGTTTAATGAGATAATTATAATAATAGTAATCCTTGCATTTGATATAGCACCTTATCTTTAAGATATCTCAAAGCGCTTCATGGAATATACTGTAAAGCAAATTGACTGTATATTTTGTGGGCGAAATTCGGCAGCCAATTGCGCACAGCAGTGTCCCACAAACCGTCGTGTATTGAGTGACCAATTTATTATTATTTTTTTTCAAGGAATTATTACCCGGGAAAAGTGATCCATCAATCGACTAACAAAAAACATTAAAAACGTTTTAGTCTTTAATGAGTTTAAGGGTATGTTCTCTCTACCTCTGAAACTGCCTAATTTTCTCCACAAACCGAAAAGTCTATACGTATGGCTCTGTGGAATCCAGTAAACAACATGTTGTGTTGCTGGTGAACTCAAAAGGACTTCACAGAAATATGTACATACAGGAAATAGGAACATGTAGAACAAACAAATGATTTAGGGACAGCTGTTGGGTGTCAACAAAACTTTGTATTATACAATGTTTATATCACTATGCAATGTGCCTGCAATCAGCGCTCAATGTAATGGATTTTACCTTCTAGATTCCAACGAATGCCTTCGCCTACTGTATGTGCTCATTAGTCTGACTCACAGGACATCCAATATATGTGTGAGAAAGAAAAAGAGTGAGACTCCTGATGGTGTGTGCCCAGGGTACAAGGGAGGAGGAAGAAAAAACATATTGAGACACATCATTTAAGACACGTATCACGTTTCAAACTGGGTGAGCCATACAATTGACTGAATTGCCTGCTGTGTAGCACTGTGTCTGTCCAACTATATTCACTCTATACAGTAGGACTCTGGTTTGCAGGGTTTCATAACAATCGTTGCCTTCAATAAAACACTTAATAGAGAATTGTGTGAAGAGATTTTTGAAGGTAAAGATTGTTATTAAAAAAATAATAATTTGGTTACTGAATCCACGACTGCTTGTGGGACACTGTTGTGTGTAATTGGCTACTGCGTTTCACCCACAAAATATCTCATTCCAATATATTCTAGTGCTTTGAGAAGTCTCAGTGACGTGATACAGCGCTATATGAAATGCAAGGATCATTATTGTTGTTATTAATTGCTGTGAAGTAATTGTAAATGTGTATTTGAATGAAATAACAAATGGCCAATTTGCACAGAGCAAGACCCCACAAAGACTAAGTCAATGACTAGTTCATCGGAAGTGAAGCATTGTTGGCTAGTACACCAGGAGAAACTCCCTTCTTTTTTCAAAAAAATGTCATGGATCTATATGCCTATCTATGCAGGTGTCCAAGCCCATGATTTAACATCTCATCTGAAGGATGGCACTTCTAACAATGCAGCTCTCTCTACATTGCATTGGAGTGTCAGCATAGACTATGAGCTCATAGTACTGATGTGAGGCTTGAAACCACCCACGCTTAAACCTTCTGGTCGAGGGTTGTGTGCTACCAACTGAAGACAGCTTTAGACTCCCAAATCTGCCTTGGTGTGTTTGTATGAAATAAGTGTGGGAAACATAAGGTGTGTTTCCTTGGAGCTAATTCTAACCCAAGGAGACTCCACAACTCCCTCTCCAAAGGAATTATTTTTAGACATGATACTTATTTAAAGTACCTTGAAGGATTGAGTGAACCAACCAGGATTTGAACCCTAAACACAAATCTTCCTATTCCTATTCCAGTATGGTCCTCAACCAACCATGTAAGATGAATTAACTAAACTGAATTTTCACAATCAACTAGATGACGTCCTGCTTTCAATATGTTTCTAGCTCTCTCCCTTCAGTGGATTTCCAGTAACTCAACCTTTTTGGCTCATTTGATCGCATTCTCATCTTTCAGTCAAGACACCTGGGGTTCAGGCCCCACGTTGTTGATTTTTTCCAAAGTAATGTTGAACCAATCTGTCTCTTGAGGTAGATATTAATAACGATACCATTAAAAAAGGGAAGAGAATTTCTTTTAGTATCCTGGCTAACAACCCTCTGCATTCATTTGTCAGTCACATTGTGTCTGTCTGTGGGACTTGCTGGAGCAATTAATGACCCCATTTGAATTATGCTTTGATAGATTTCAAATATACGATGTAACAAATGTACAATTTCCATGCCATGTGAATTTAAACGATTTGCACAAAGCTAGGTAATAATAGTAATAATCCTTGCATTGAATATAATGCCTTATAATATAATTGGGACAACTCAAAGCGCTTCACCAAATATTTTGTAAAGTGGATCGACTGTATTTTGTGGATGAAAAGCGGCTATCAATTGCATTTTCAATCAAAGAATTGGACAAAGCATCCTTGTGGATTTATCCGCAAACTAAATCCCTAAAACATGCAATTAGCATATGAAATTTACTTTTTTCTTGTTCCGGTTCAATTTCTGTTTCAAGGTTCCTACATCTAAGGTCAGGGCCACAATGTTTCTTTTACGCTTGTTCTCCCGACCTCTAGGTCTAAGAGGTAGAAGGTCTACCACTCGTGTACATGACGGTGACTCGAGCTCAGCATACTGAGGGCTCATTCTTTACAGTTGTTTTTTTTAATAATGTTGATGTTTTGGCAAACCAATCCATTACTTGACTCGCATGTTAAAAAATCTACTTTGTGTGGAATATGGATTTATGTGCTTACTTAATGGATAGTCATGTTTATGGCTGGGAACCAACTCTTTTATATAAATAACAAAAGGCCACAAACATTTGGCTGTCCACCAGTGTCCCTTGGCAACTTAGTAACAAGTTCCAACTTCACATTAGCTTTCATTTGTAAGTGACTGTTGATGCTTGTTTATGGTACATGCACCAAGCAGGATATCAAGAAACTGTGTCTTGAAAGACTGACATTTTTATCGTACAACAGGACCACAAAGTACTTGGGCCATCTGCTTGACTCCCTGACACCAACCCAAGGGATCAGCCACAATAATGATGCCTACAAAATCAGAGTCACTGCAGGTTATATGCACTTTAGACTCTTCATTTAAACCTGTCAATAATACACTTATGAAGATAGTATAAGAGAAATGGTACAGTAACCTATCTCTTGTACTATTCAGCATAAGATTCAAAGATTTGGAGAAAGACAAATAGAAAGAGAAAAGATGATGAATTGCCAGTTGCATTTGTACAATGCTAGTTTTCAATGCTAGTTGGTTCCATTAGTATAACAAAAACAGCAGTCGTTGGGAACACTCAGCAGGTCAGGCAGCATCTATGGAGAAAGGAAAGTGAGTCAACATTTCGGGTCCACGACCCTTTGTCAGAACTGGGGCATGTTGGGAGGGAGAGGCTTTTAAGGGCAAACAGAAAGGGGGTAGGCAGGGCAAGGAAGACAAAGGAAAAAATGGGGATGATGGTTAAAGAGGTGTTAATGATGCAAAACAAAGGGGGCAGGGATTGTAACAAACCAGGGGAATAGATGTGTTAATAATGCAAAGCAAAGGGGTGGGGAAAGAATTGCAACAAAACGGGCATACCAGCTATTTTTCTCCATAGATGCTGCCTGACCTGCTGAGTGTTCCCAGTGACTTCTGTTTCTGTTTTCAGATTTCCGGCATCTACAGTATTTTGCGTTCCGTTGATATAACTCTTGCCTATGAGTCAGAAAGTTTAGGGTTCATGCCACACTTTGGGACTTTAAACTCACAGTCGATGCTGATACTCTTGTGTTTTCACACAGCGAGTTGGTCGGATCTGGAACGCATTGCCTGACTGGATGGTGGAAGCCGATTCAGTAACAACTTTTAAGAGAGAAGTAGATAATTATTTGGGGAAGACAAGTTTGCGAGGCAGCACAGACATGATGGGCCGAATGGCCTCCTTCTGTGCTGTATAATTCTATAATTCTATGATTCTTAGTTCTGCGCTGGGGGAGCCCTGCATTGTTCAAGATGCTGTCGTTTGGATGAAATGTTAAATTAAGATCTTCTCTGTGCATTCAGGTTGATGTTAAAGATCCCGTGGCACGATTCAAAAAAAGAATGGAGTTTTTCCCAGTGTCCTGGCCAACAATACCTCAGATTAAATTGATCATTCACTTCATCGCTGTTTGCGGAATGTTGCTGTGCATGGATTGGCTGCTGCATTCAACCTACAGAATACACAGTCACTACACTGTGCAGTAAAATCTGTAAGGCACTTTAAGACATCCTCTCAAGGTGAAAAGTGCAATATGAAATGCAAGGAATATTATAATTATTATTTAAGCCTGTCAATTGAAATCGACGAATTGTCAAACTGGTTTAATTCACAGTACTAACACTCCCCCCACCATCCTCTCTCTCCTGAGGTTCAGAGAGTACAGATTGTTGGAGCCATAATAAACTATCTGTAATTGTCCCATTGTGTAAAATCTGAGCTTTTATGTGTGTAACGAGCCCATCAACACTTAGTTTGCAGGCATTCTGCTTACATATGTGACCAGGTTAATGAGTGCATAGTTCAGAGGTTAACAGAGGTAATGGACACCCAGCTCTGAAGGACATGTTTGAAATACCTTCCGGCCTATTTGAAATTCTTTGTTCCCCAGAAACGTGACATTTAAACCACGAGTTTTGATGCAATCTTCCTCTTTTATAACAACTTTTATAAAATATCAACTGTGTCATTGCATGAGGCTGAGCTGTAACCTTGCTTGTATATTAATGCTGAGTTTCAGATGTTAGTTCCTGAATTGGTGGGATCTGAGTGGAGGCAAACTCCAACACCCTGCCTATTAGCTCAATTGGCTGTGGTGGCTTTGGGCAAAACCATTGGAATTAATTCTGAAGAGGGAGGGGGACAGTTATGGATTAGAAAATATCCTGAAATGGAAGATTGGAATATTGGAATATCAAATTGGAATGGGATATAGTCATCATTATACATTAACAAAAATGTTATCATTCAATCCACAACTGTTTGTGGGACACTGCTGTGCGAAATAGGCTGCCGCCTTTTGGCCACAAATACACAGTCAATTCACGTCATAGTATATTCTGTGAAGGGCTTTGAGGCATCTCAATGACGTGATAAGGCTCTATATTAAATGCAAGGATTATTATTATTTTTATTATCAACATCACACAAAACGTTTTTTCACATCACATCTTGTAAATGTCATGAAAAAGCAATGCCTAGTCCAGTGGAATCTAATATGTGATACTACTAACACGTCCTCCGCTCTGACACCATCTGCTTTACTCCCACAGAAAAGTGTGATACACCTCGAGTTACCCCAGTGCCCAGTCTCCCTTAGCCTTCTGCCCATAACCGCATAGTTTTAGTCTAGCAATGTGGTGTGCACGAAATTGCGCGCACAAACACTTGTTGGTGAAATAAGTTTACATAAAATAGTAGGTGGTTGTAACATTATATCTCAGAATTGCAACTGAATAAGGAAATCAATGTTGAGGTATAAAGGATGTAGACTGAATTCTTAATTCCTCCCAGTGTTGCAGTCAGTTTTATGGAGTTGCAGATATTGCTTTACATGTACAGTACTCCCCTGCTGTTACACGCTCGCGGCCTCCCCGTGTTGTTTCAATTAGGAACTGAGGTAAATTAATCTAAACCAGCCCCAGACTCCCAAGAGTTCTTTGAGCCAGGTATTGTCGCGTTTCAACTTTTCTGGAAATAATCTGCACCATCGCTTTCAAGAAGCCCTGATA